TTTAAAAAATTATATATTATATGTTTTTCTCAAAAATAAATTTCCAAAAACTATATATCGTATATTTTCAAAAATCATATTTAAGAACCCGGACAGAAATAAGTGTTTATATCAATCTAAATGTACAAATTAAAAAAATAATGATTCCGACTTTTAAAAATAATAGTTCTAAATATAAAATTATTAAAACACTCTAATTTATTCTTTAATTTTTTATCAATTATAATTTTGAAAATATATTTAGAATAAATATTTATTTTTTTTAATACTTTAATAATGATTAAAAATTATAAAGTTTTTTAACACTATTAAAAAAATCCAACAACAAAGTAAAGGTAAATAATAGGTTGATATTGAATTATATGCACATGGGATGCAATTAGTACACACCACCATCAGCTACTCAAAACCTGATTTAACCTGATTTGATCTGATTTAATTTGATTTGACTTGATTTAACCTTACCCTCAAATTATATTGTGCTTGGCCAGGTTCTTAGACTTAGCTGAGCCTCTCTTGCATTTGCATTAATCGTATTTATTGTTAAACTTATCTCAACTGAAATGACTTGTCATTGGCATTTCACCCGATTTCACTTTTAAAATAACCCATCAAGCAATTCAAGTTGGGAATGTTTACTGAGCGATTCAATGATAAATTAAATAGTATTTTATTCAATTTTATAATTATTCGATTTTTATTTAATTTGGATCTTCTTCATTAAATTCGATAAAATTTTATTTGGTTTGTGCTTGTTAAAGAATTTATCACTCGACTCAACTTATTGCTAATTAAACTCCTCAGAATTTATCTTGGTTTTTTAATTTTTTATGTAAACTCTAGTAATACTATATATAACTTAATAAAAATAAAAATTAAAAAAAATAACAATAAATGATCAAATAATGAGTGAAACAATTCCATGTTATGACCAAATCATAAATAAATAAGAAGAATTAACCATGATCTAATCATGCCAAAGCATTAAGATGAGCTAACACTTCCATCTGGCCCAATTACAAAAAACTGAGCCAAACTCTTAAAAGACAAGCTTCAGACTGCAGTCCAAGCTTTCATCAGCAAAAGAATACAAGCCCACATAGAGACAGGAGAATTTAAAAAAGGAAACTCATTCATCCTTCCTCCTAATACTACTTGGGCCTCCATAACCCAAGTTGAAGATAATTCAAGACCAAATTGCAAGATTCAAGAAGATGACCCTGAAATTAATTTCAAATCCCCTTAAATTACTAAAACCATGTATAAAGTATCCATTGCTAGAATATAAAGCATGTATCACTTTTCCTAAGTAGATTTTAGTTATTTAAGTTGTTTTCTTTGTTTTATTACGATTAGGCCCAAAGATGGTGATTGTTTTTAATGACAAAACCCTAGGAAAACACATCATTTCCACCCTATTTTACCTGGTCGACCCTTCATTGCTTTCTAAAGCTTTACCGCCTCTTCATCTTCTAGAATACTCATCCGGACCATCCATCAAGCTAGAGGTTTCATCATGCATTCAAAATCCTTACTTTTATCAAACCCGTTGGATCAAAAACTTCATCAATGGCCAGCATTCATATCGCCCATTCTAGTGCAATTAAGACATATTTTTTTATTATTTTATTACATACTTATGATCCTAGAAGGAGTCCTCATCACATATATAAAGGAGGCTCTCCCTTCATTGTTTCACATCATTTGTTTTGAATAATAATATAACATGAGTACATTATTGCAAGAGTTGATTGCCTTGTGCCTTCAAAACATCTTTTTCTTTAAGTTCTTCCAAGTTCTTGAAAGAGATATCTTTACATTCTGGTTTGCCTTCTCATTGCGATTCGGAGGGCTGATTAGAGTCATATTATCGAGTTTGTCTTTTCATTGTGACTAGGAGGGCTCGGTAGGACATATCCATCTGTCTTCCATCTCTGTAACTCATCATCTGCCTCCTCCATCACGCCACCATCATTACCCCAATCTTAAGATTTGCGTGAAGAATATACCTAACAGGGGTAAATTTTCAATTCCACTTTTACGAAGATCTGACCGTTAGAATTTTGATCTGTCATCTTCGTTGCGATCATTATCTTGTTATCTTTCCAAAGAGTATTCATCCATTAAAATCCATCCACAACAGACCCTTTCCACCCACCATAAGGGAAGATAACTCAATTTCTTTATTACTTGTTTTTCTTTTAGTTTATTTTATTACTTTATTTACCTTTTTGTTCTTGAATTATATTTTCCTTACTTTATTTTCTTAATCTATTCTTCTTGTCTTAATATCAGCCTTCAAAATTCTTAATCTAAACACCTTGTTGCTGCCCACATCCATTATCCATCCTCTCATTCTTTGATCGAGTCTAGAGCTTTCTAGGTTTGATTCCTTGACGAATAGAAACGATCATCCTCCACTGCCACTTCTCTATCAATTGGTATCAGATTTGGAACGATTCTTGGAGAGAATCAAGTGTTCTTGATTGTTCTTACAAGCATACTTCTTCAAGGTACCCCAACAGAGCTAGTTGAGACAAGTTCATTGTTTTCAAGTTCTTCTTAAATTTTTTTCAGTTCAATTTAAATTCCTTCTTGTTAGTTTTCAGTTTTTCATCCAAAAAAAGAAGAAAAAAATTAAAAAAGAAAAAGCACAAAAAAGCCAAAAACTAAAAAAAAAATAAACATAACATGAAGGAATTTGGAATTGATTTTTTCTAGGTACTTGCCTCATTCTAAGAGAAATCTCCAATTAAAATTTCAAACCAATCAAACTTCATTTGGCCCTTCTGATCTATCGTTTAGACAAATTTGGGCATCGATTCTTGTCGAATTTTTTTTTTCAGAATTTTCTAGGACAAATTTGGTGCTGAAAGTTTCTAGATCCAAACTAAACTCATTGGAAGACATACTAAAAAAGTTTAGAATTTTTGGATATCGGTAACCCCAAAGACTGAATTATTTTAAGCTTAAAATTAAAATGTCGTTCTGCCATTTTGTGAAAAAACATGACAACATTCTGAGCATCAGATTTTCTAGCCATAATATAAATCCATGTATATATCGTACATGCATCAACAATGCTAATGAAATACATAGAATTATTAGAAATTAACGGATCAGGCCCCTATAAATCCGTTTGAACATGCTATAAAGGATGATCATAAACAGAAAGAATTTTGAAAATGAAGCTTATGGCTTTTGCCTAGTTGACAAACATCACAAAATATCGATTTATTATAAGCAGGAACATTACAATGTTTAAGAAGTTTTTCCAAAACCACACTAGATGGGTGGCCTAACCTTCTATGCCACAATTAAGGACTAGAAACAACAACACTACACACATCAACATCAAACTTATCAATAACATCAGACTCATTAGTAGTTACCAATGTTATCAAAATAGGACCGGACCGGACCGGCCGGTTCGACCGATTGAACCGGGAACCGGTTGCCTGTCCTGTCCGGTCAGCCTCTAAAACCAATTTTGCAATAAACCGCTAAAGAACCGGTAGAACCGGTTGGGAACCAGCAAAACCAGTGTGAACCGTCGATTCTTTTTTTTAAATAAACCAAACGACGTCATTTGTTATGATTTTTTTCAGCCTCCAATTTATTTTCTGATTTCAGTTATATAATTATATTTATTATTTAATATGTTTTACACTTTTACTTTTAATTGTTAAGTATTGTTTGAGAATTTAAATTTAACTTTGTATTTATTTATCATATTGCTAGGTGATGAAAATCTTGATGTTGTGGACTTTCAAGTTCAAAGTGATGCTATGGAGTTTCAAGTTCAAAGTGGTGATGGCGGTGGTAGTTCAACACTTCAACTAATGAAGAAGTTTTTCCCAATATTTTGGAATTTGAGGGAATAAATTTCAATGAATATTATGATGATTGATACTTGTATCAATTATGTACTTTTTTATTTAGTTATTGATGAATTTCATTAGTTGTTGATGAATTTCATTAGGTATTGACCCTAAATATTATGTTGTAGTTGATTTGAATCATTTTGTTTCACTTGATTTTATGATATTTAACTTATATATGTTATGACTTGTGATATTTTTATACCTTTCAATATTGTAAACTTAAAAGAGTGTTATATATATTAATATTGCTTTGAATATTATGTAAATTTTTTAAAAAAATATTATTTTATATAAATCGGTTCAACCCGGTTGAACCAATGAACTAGTACCTTCACCAGTTTAAGGTCCGGTCCGGTTTTAAAAACACTGGTAGTTACACTACTTAAAGAATGCACAGAAAACATACACCTAGACACAACATAATTAGAAGTGAACTTAGCATAACTAGCAGAATTGATATCAGTCGAATTAGCCCTAATAGGCTAACTTGTTTATCAATAACAACAACCACTACATCAAAAATGTTCTTTAGCGGCATTTTAGCTGCGTTTTTAGAGTAAACGCCACTAAATTTAAACATATAGCGGCGTTTACTTTCTAAACGCAACAAAATGACAACTTTAGTGGCGTTTCTTTATAAACGCCGCAATAGGTTTCATCTATAGTGGCGTTTTTTTATAAACGTCGTAATAGATCCATCTATAGTGGCGTTTTTTAATAAACGCCGTAATAGATTAGTACTTTAGCAGTGTTTTTATACAAACGTCGTAATAGGGTTCACCTATTATGGTGTTTTTCAATAAATGCCGCAAAAAATTAGAACTTTAGCGGCGTTTTTATATTAACACCGCAATAGAGTTCACCTATAGTGGCATTTTTTCAATAAACGCCGCAATAGATTAGAACTTTAGTGATGTTTTTATATAAACGTCATAATAGGATTTACCAACATATTAGAACTTTGGCTTTTTTTTTTTCAATAAACGCCGCAATTGTTTGAAAATGCTATAATAATGAAAGGGCCCGTGACCGGTCGGATCATCTACATCTTACTTCATACTTGTCCCAAATTGCCCGTACAAAAGATATCAGCCATTGTTTTTATTCATTAAATTGCACAGTTTTGATCTTTCTCCAATTTTCTAATCCAACATGAAAAACTTCAGCAATCTCCCCTCTTTTCTAATAATCGGAGTTTTAATCCTCTGCTGTCTCTCGCATATTAGATCCGATGCCTCCGACCACCGTTACAAAGACGGCAACCCCGTCCCTCTTTACGTCAATAATGTCGGCCCTTTCCACAACCCTAGGTAACTTCATCATTTCCTTAGATCTGAAATTGCTTAGCTTTTGAATCCTGACTCAATGCCCTTATTTTGGAATAGCAAATTCAAATCTAATTACATTTAACATTTGTTTTCTTAATTAATGCCTTAATTTTGGTTTGGTTTGTTTGCCTACAGTGAAATTTATCGCTACTTTGATCTGCCTTTCTGTTCTCCAGGTTCTTTTTTTTTATTTTGTTATTATTAATTTGGGTTTTAATGGATTTCATTTGGATTTAATAAAATGTGTTGATTTTGCGATGGAATTTAGATCATGTAAAGGAGAAGAAAGAATCATTAGGGGATGTATTGAATGGAAATCGGCTGGTCAGTGCTCCTTATAAGTTGAATTTTAAAGAGGAAAAGGATTCCTCTGTTGTTTGTAAGAAGAAGCTTTCGAAATATGAAGTTGCCATTTTACGCAAGGGGGTCGATAAGGAGTATTATTTCCAAATGTACTATGATGATTTGCCCATTTGGAGTTTTATTGGAAAAGTTGATAAGGAAGGAAAAAGTGATCCCATTGAGTACAAGTATTTCCTTTACAAGCATATCCAGTTTGATGTTCTTTATAACAAGGATCGTGTTATTGAAATTAGTGCAAGGATGGATCCTCATTCTCTCTTGGATTTGACGGAGGATAAGGAAGTTGAAGCTGAGTTTATGTATACTGTGAAATGGAAGGAAACCGAAACTCCTTTTGAGAAGAGGATGGATAAGTACTCCATGTCTTATTCTTTGCCGTATCATTTGGAAATTCATTGGTTCTCTATTATCAACTCTTGCGTGACAGTTCTCCTGTTGATGTTTATTTTATATTTATGTTTCTTTCAGATTTGTGAAACTGCAATCATTTGTTCAAGATCTATACGCCAATTATTGATGTTTCATTCTATTCACTTTTGAACTTTTTATGTCTATCAGAGCGGTGTTCATTTTTATGTTTGCATTGGTTGGTGTCTTTTATCCCTACAATCGAGGTGCTCTGTTTACTGCCCTGGTGGTCATATATGCACTCACATCAGGAATTGCAGGTACAAAATAAAGTTCCATTTTCACGCTCTGCAGCTACTTTCCATTCACATCTAGATGGATTATATTTTTGTAATATAGTTTCTATTTATTAGAGTTGTGTATGGTTGGAAGTGGAGTGTCATTTTTTAATTTCCTTGGCCTTTTTATTTGGGGTTGAATTTCGGTGGCTAAGTTATTGTATTAGAAAGTATATGAAATAAATCACATTTTTTGTTGAAGAATCAAACCCCTAATTCATCCACCATAGTCGTTTATTATCTCAGATTGTTTTGAATTCCCAGTCCTGCAATTATTTGACAGTTTGAAGGCTTTGTCCAGAGTAAGTGATGCAGATATTGGGATTCGATTTAAATCACTAAATTTGTTAGATATGATAGCATGAGCCCAATTGAGCTAAGTTTTGAGTTCATTTCGAGTTCATTTGAATTCTGTTTAGTTTCTGGAAACAAGGGTAGGCAAGGAATGATATTTTTGCTGATTATTGCTATAAGATGACAAAAACACCCAACTTACCTTTTACATTTTGGGGGTTGAATTTCGGTGGCTAAGTTTCTTAATTTCTGTTTGGCTTCAATTGAAATGTCTTACCAGTGATTATTTGGGCCTTAGAAGCTAGATGTATCTAGGATAGTTTGTAAATCTTATACAACATTGACAGTGGCAAAGTATTAAATAATTTCTCTAGAAAGTTTAGGAGCTCTGATTGTTGTCATAATTAATTATTAACCCCTTTTATGGCAGGGATTACAATGGTTTTACACAGAGCATAAAATTAAGTTATCAAAGGTACAATTCTATTTTTCTTTCATGAACATTTGTGCCAGTTTCTTCACTTTTAGAAAGATACTCTGATTTATCAGCTTCGAATAAAACTGATAATTATGTAGCTTTCAAGGTGAGCATCTTTATTTATCAGCTTTGATTTCCCCCTTTCAAGGTGCGCCTAAGTGTGGTTGATGAACAAAATCATGAACATATATGTTTCTGAATTTGTAATGTGTAATGTGTCATCTCTTAGAGTTTTACATTCAGCGATCTTGTCCTTGTTGATAAATGATTAAGTTGTTTAGCTATGTATCATTTAAAACCATATTGGTTAAATTTATAGTGAACTTTTTCTTCATTATTGCTATTCTTGTGCAGCTGCTATACAGTTCCTGAAGAGGAAGAGATTAAATGAACAACAAATAGAGCACCTTGGGAACTTGCAGGTTCGTATTCATGATCAAGTAAGCTTGATTTTTTCTTCTTTTTCAGTGTTTTAACTAAAGTCCCTTGGAGGGCTTATTATTACTATAACTATAGCATTACTTAATTGTATATATCAATTTCCACATATGATAATGTTAGAATGTGCTAAAGCCACAACCGAAACTGTAGATGCATTGAGAATTGGAGCTACTGCAATGAAAGCATGCAGAAAGCAACGTATGTGTTCTGTTAAATTCATCATATGATGCTTTAATATTATGTTCCTTCCTCTCTCCCTTTTTTCTTTTGTCCAGATATTGAATTCCCATAAAAGTTTTACGAATTGGATCATGTTCCTCATGACATATCAAATTTGCATAACTTAAGTTTAGAAAGTCATTCACCTGGGTTTAGTGGTAGTACTTATTTTGCTGTATTTTAGTATAGAAATTAATTATTATATCATATTAACCCATGATATACGGACTCAAGTGTGAGTTTTTCTACATATTTGAAGTTTATTTGGTGGACATATTTCCATATCCCTATGTTGGAACTTCAATAGAAATGAGAAGTCTTGAGTAACACAAATATCAGCACTTCAGCAGTCGTAGACTATATGGAACTTTTGTATGGATTATATTATGATATTATGTTTGCTTCTATAAAAACTTCGAGCGAGAATTCAGAATCCAAGTGATCATGAAAGATGTGATACTTTTGATCACACTTGCATGAGGTGATAGCATTCTTGTTCCTCGATTTTCGTTTTTGCATGTTATGGTCTATGAATTAGTGAAACAACTTTGTTATGCTTGATAAAAGTTTAAGATAATTTTTCGCATTTTCTTGCAAGGAGTTTGAATATGACTGTGAGCTTTCAACATCTGAATCTGAAGAAGAAGAGCGTAAAAGAACCAAAACATCCAGAATAGCTTGTGATAGGAGGAAGCATCAAATGATGTGGACCCTTGCTGAGGTGATTAAGTTGGTTGAAGGAATTGCTCATTATAGTGTTGGAAGATGGACTGATATAAAAAACCTTCTATTTGCGTCATCTTCTATTGACAACTATTTTGTGAAGGGTTTTCGGATTTGAGTATTGTTATACTTTTTGGTGTTTATGGCTCATATTATTGTTTATTGTAGTTAACAATGTTGAACTACATTAATGTAAACGTTGATTTATTATTATGAATTTCAAGTTTCTTGTTATGAATTTCAAGTTTCAAGTTTGATGTTATGGATGTCAAATTTATTGGATAATGTTATATGCTAAAATTTTAAATTTGGGGAACAAAAGCGTAGGAACCAACATTTGAAAAAGTAGTTTTAATTCGCGGCGTTTGTATAAAAAACGTTGCTATAGATTTGACCTTTTGTGGCGTTTATTCTAAAAACGCCGCTCTAGATCTAACCTTTTGCGGCGTTTGTATTCAAAAACGCCGCTATAGATATGACCTTTTACGGTGTTTGTTCTAAAAACGTCGTTATAGATCTGACCTTTTGTGGTGTTTGTATCCAAAAATGCAGCTATAGATCTGACCTTTTACGGCATTTGTATCTAAAAACGTTGCTATAGATATGACCTTTTGCGGCATTTGTTCCAAAAACGCCGCTATAGATCTGACCTTTTGCGGCGTTTGTATCCAAAAACGCCGCTATAGATCTGATTTTTTGCGGCGTTTATTCTGAAAACGCCGCTATAGATCTCGACCTTTTATGGTATTTATTCCGAAAACGCCGCTATAGATATCGATCTTTTGCAGCATTTGTTCCAAAAACATAGATCTTGACCTATTGCGGTATTTTTTGTTCTCAAACGCCGCTAACTTTAGCGGCGTTGGTTTGGCCGACGCTTCTTGCGGCGTTTTTTCAATCGCCGCAAGTGCTTTTAGCGGCGCTTAAGAACGCCGCTATAGGACTAAAAAAATGCCGCTGTAGAATAATTTTGCTATAGTGAACAGAGGGAAGTTCATACAAACCCTCATGTTCCAAACCTCGAAGAATCACCTGCCGAGAGACCTGGTCCTTCGCAACACAATAATCAGGATAAAATTCAATAGATACATTATTATTTTTGGTAAATCTGGAAACTTAAAGTAAATTCTCCCAAATAGTAGGAACATGTAAAAGGTTTTTCAAAACCAAAGACATTGACTGAGAAGATAACACTGCTTGGCCAATCTTAGAAATAGGAACATTCATTCCATTAGCAACAAATACTTTACCTGGACCATTATAAGGAGTAGAATAAAAAAACTATACCTGCATCAGGAGTGAGGTGAGTGATAGCACCGAAATCTGGATACCAAGTAATATCTTCATATCCAATAGTACCAAACCTATTTGCAACAACAACCGTATTTACGTCGTGAACCTCCGAATCAACATGAACAGAACTATCATTTTGAACCTAAAAATTCCTTCAAACGACTGGTTGAACCTAAAATAGCACATGTTTGTCAAATGACCCAACTTGCCATAGATTTGACAGTGCACCCAAGGTCAACCATAAACTCATCCTCGAAAGACACCACCACCACGATTAGCTTGATACGCAAAAGGATTACTATGGTTACAATTAAATCCATGACTCAAACCTCTCTGAGAGAGACCTTGATCTTGAGATGATCGTTTAAAAGACTACATCGATCCAACTCTATAAACCCTATATGTGTCATTTGACATAACCCTAGTGTAATTAGGGTAATAATTTTGACCAGAACAAAATTGATTCTAACATGAAAAAACTTACCATAATTGACCATTAAACCGAAATTGACTACTGAATGGGCTTTGTCTAAACATATACTCATTACCGGCGGAGCCTTACACCATATTAACCGAAACACTCTGACCCAAGAATTCTTGTTGTCTTGATTCAGTATCAAGAAGCACGTTACACACCCCATCAAGACTATAAGGCTGTTGACTCGAGGTTATGATTTCCATATATCTAAAGCAGTCTTGTACTTAACCAAGGAAGGAAGAATAGAAGGACCAACTAAAGAAAGAAGCCAGGAACAAAGAGCATTGTCTTACTATTTGTACGCGACATACTTTCTCCATTGACAACCATAACAATACCTTCAAGAACGTACTACGGAGGAATGGCGCAAGTGTCGTCAACATGGCTGATAGGAGTCAAGCTCTCAATGGAAAATAGCACCTGTTGATGCCAAAGAAGGTAGTTAGACTCATCAAGCCTAACAAAGATAGACTTGTTCGTGAAAGGCTTGGAAGCAACACTCTCCACCATTCTTGAAACAAAAACCTCTCATACTATGAAAGATTACAAGAGCTAACTAGAGAGAAAACCTCAAAATCAGTCTATCTTTCTTATTCAACAACCAAGTAATTATATACAACATTCAAGCTATCATAACTAAACTTATAAAGTTATAATAGAATTGTCATAGAACTCTAACTACCTAACCCATCACAACTGCACAACTCATTATAATACTAACACCTAGGCATGTTTCGATAATCCAGAAGTTATTTTCATTTAGGGCTATAGGAATATATACTAAATGGGGTATTTGAGTAATATTCAGAAGGGATATCTCCTTTAGACATGTTGAAACCATATATGAGTCTGTCGATACATGTTGCTATATTGATAGAAGTAAGGTCACAACTATTGTGAATCTTACCTTTGCGTTTATTTTCCAACCTTTTTTAGTAGGTAGTTTTGTCATACCCCAATTTAGGGGCTAAAATTTTAGAAATTATAATATATTGATTTTAATTGGTGTTTTGGAAGAAATTGAGGATTAAAGTGTAAAATCGCAAAGTTAGCATACCATTTTATAAAGTGCATGAAATTCAGTGACTAAACTAATAATTTTTCCATTTTTCTTTTGGAGAGAATTATAAACCTCTCCCCGTTTGTTTTCTGCAAAAATATTCCTCCATTTTCTCTTCCCCTCAACCTTTCTTTGAGCTCCGATCTATGCACTGTCCGGCCACCATTCGACGGATAGAAACCACCATCGTGTTTGTTGTCGACCGAAGAACAAAACCCCTCAAACTTTTCGTCGTGAATCATCGTCATTCGTCGTAAATCTCAATCGGAAGTATCGTGGGTTTTAAATCAATTTCCGTTGTTCGTCGATTCAGGTCGATCCGGCTACTTGTTTTCAACACCTCCCGCACCATCGTGTTCCTTCCATCGTTTCGAGTCACCGGTGTCCTCCGTGTCTCCGTCATCGCTGGCGAGTGGAGGGGTGAAGAAGTCAAAGTTTCCGATGTTTCGAAATCAAGCTCTCTTCCGTTCAAAATTTTGAGCTGAGCTTGGTAAGTGTCTCAAAATGCCATAAAATATTTTTAGAAATTTTTCGAGAATTTTAAGGACACCGTAGCACTGTTTACGCGCCCCCACGCGTTGTCCCTGCGCATGGGGAGGTTCGAAAACAGTTGGGGCAGTTGACCCGGTTTGACCCCACCCGTTTGACTCAACCCAGTCCGACCCGACCCGACCGTTGACCTAACCCGTTGACTGTTGACCGTTGACTTTGACCAAAAAGTCAAATTTTCAAAAAGTCATATTTTATGTTTTTCAACGTCCTGAATCCGAATCCGAAGTCTGT